AGCCACCTTTGGAAAAACGAAGACACAGATGTCGACCTACTAACAAGAAAAATGCTCCAGATACAGAGTCAAAGGCAAGGTCCCGAACAGGAAGCACTGTCGGAGTCTCTCTTCATGACACATAAATACACGCGTAACTTCTGTGTATGTGAACACGGAGAAAGTCTGACCCCCGCCTGGGAAGGTGGGGCTGGGGGTGACCGGCTTTACTTTGTTGCTGATCTTTACTTCCTGACGTTTCACTGTAACTGGTATGTACATTTTACACACTAAGTAACAAAATGCGTGTTTGTTATAAGTGCGTACAGGTGAAGGGATCGCTTCAGTTCCGGGGCAGGACCGCTTATCTGGAGCCTCACGCCCCTCAAGGGTAACGCTACGGCCCAGTCGGAGTCCTCCTCGTGCGGCTCCTCAAGGTCAGACTGGCCGGGCGCCGGGCGCAGGAGGTTGCCTTGAAGACAAACCCATGGGAATATCATCAGGTCCCTCGAAGGTGTTGTCCAAACCCCCTGTAGGTTCGCCCATTCCTCAAAGAGGACTCCTTTCCCCCTGCCCCGAATGACAATCCCAGGTAAGCCGTGTGTTTAACCAGACCGTCCAGAAATGAGTTTCACCCTCCATCGAGTTCTGACCTGGAACGTGACCGTGACACCCTCACCCGTCTCTTCAGAGAGGACGGTGTCGGGCGGTGATGTCGGGAACCACACTGAGAATCGTGAGCCTTTAGAAATCCTGAGGCATAAACCACTGCTCCCCTGCACCACCTGACCTTGACTGCGCCCCCGTGTGAACACCTAACACTCGCCCTCGGCCCGAGTCACCCTGACCCCCTGACCTTCCCCAGTGAGGCACACGTGCTCCCATCTCGGGCCCTTTGTACTTGCTGCCCAGCCCTTCGGAAGGTCCTTCTGCCCAGGTAGCTACATGGCCAACCACTCGCTCCCTCAGCTCTCTGCTCAAATGTACTAAACATGTATGTATATGGCTAATCCTCACCTGAGGATGTTTTTTCCACTGATTTTTCAAAGAGCGGAGGGGGAGAGAGAAACATGGATGTGAGAGAGACATATCGACTGGCTGCCCCCCGAACGCACCCCGACCAGGGCTGGGGATTGACCCTGCAACCCAGGTACGCGCCCTCGGCCGGAGCTCAGCCTGGGACCCTTCAGTCCTCAGGCCGATGCCCTAACCACTGAGCCCAAGCGGGCAGAGCTGAAACGCACCATGTTAAAGAGCCTTCCCTGGCGCCCAGCCCCACCGAGCACTCCGCCAGCCCCTGCCCTGCTGTTATTGTTTGCTTAGTGGTAACATACACACACATAAAATAAAACTGACCATTTTAACCACTTTCAAGCGTACAGCTCAGTGGCATCAGGGACACTCACTATTGGACAACGCATCCATCTCCAGAACGGTTTCCGCTTCCCAAAGTGAAAGTCTATACCCATGAAACAAAGTCCCCGTTCCCCCCACCACCCAGCAAACACTATTTTACTGTCTCTACGGATTCCAGTGCTCTAGGTACCTCACGTAATTGCGATTATAAATACTTGTCCTGATTGTCTTTAGCCCAGTGTCCTCCAGATGCACCCATGCTGCTCCTTTCCAAGGCCGAGCGACGGTCCACCGCGTGTCTAGGCCCCACTGAGCTCACCCATTCACCTGCCAGGCGCACGGGGTTGTTTCGGGCTTGCTATCGTGAGCGCCGCCGCTGTGAATCTGGGGGTACAAGTCCCTGCTCAAGTCCCCGCCTCCCATTCTCTCAGGAACACACCTAGGGGTACACTGCTGGTCACCCGCTAATTCCACGCTGCCTTTCCGAGGAGCCCGCTCTCTGCTGCCCACCGACAGTGCACAGGGATCGGGCTTCGCCCCTCGGCACCCACGCTTACCCCCGTGCCCCTGACCCTGCTTTACCCTCCCCACAGCGCTCGCTGCCGGTTATCCTATAAGACTGGCTTATTCATACTGGGTGCTCCCCCATATGGAGCAAAGCCCCTGGGGAACGGGCTTTCACTGCTGGATCCCCAGCTTTTAAAACACACCCTGCCACCGAGAGACCAGAGGAGAAATGAAGGAATAAACGTCTGGGCTGTAACCGCTTGAACAGGTGTTAGAGCTTCTCGAACAGTTACCTCACCCAACGAACGGCTCACACTACGTCCAGCTCAGGCAGGAGCCTGGACGGCCGGCGCCTGGTTCGCTCTGAGCCGCGGCCCAACAGGCGCCGCGTTCAGGGTTTTCTCAGCTCAGCCTCGCTACCCTCAGAACCACCGGCACTATGACAACTGGCAGGAGTAACAGAAATGACGTCAGTCATGTCGCTGACGTCGGGCCTTCGCCGTCTTCATCGAAAGAGCTGTGCGAAAACTTAAAACAGCAAACGCGAACTAAAAAAATGGCATGCGCTCCCAGTTACTACCCAGCCTGCGAGGCAGTTATGTTTCATTTTAAAAGAGCAAACCAGCAGCACCCAAGATGGGACGCTGGCCTAGTGTCGATCCCCTAACGGGATGGGCCCAAGGACAGCCTGACCTAGAAACCTAGCTCCAGGCCTGCTTTTGTGTTAGGTGTTTGTTGTTTCACTTTGGTTTGTTTCTTAAGAACTGCCTGTAAAGAAATCAGTTTCCATGAGATCATTATACAGGAGCAAAGAGCCGTGAGATTTTTTTGTCTCTGGAACTCAGCTGGTTATACACCAGCGGATTAGAAGCTTCCTTCGTCTGTCTCCCACTTTAATACCCAGGTCTTCCTCAGCTGAAATATTTTGAGGGAAAAAGGCAACAGATGTGTCCTGTTGAGCTCATCTACTTCGCTAAGCAACCACCCGGTCTCCTCAGAAGGGCCCACCCCCGCCAGAGGGGCCCACTTGGTCGGAATGGGAGACACCCTGTTGACTCCAGCAAGTTCCACGGGGCTCCAGGTGGAGCCAGGAGTAATACATTCAGAGCGTGACGAACTTTCCCTGCCCGATAAGGCCACCTTGATAGATCTTCTGTTCTGATTTAAATAATTCAAAGAGCAGACTGTACTTTCAACACACACGCAGGAGAAAGAGCAAAAGGTTCTGCCCAACTGGCCACAAAGCGAAACGTCTGAGGCGAGGTTTCCACATTTCACAGCTCAAACTCCCTGGGATCTCAACTTCCAAGTTGTTCAGGTGGGGAAATGCCTGATCCCTTTAACCTGCTCAGAGGCCTGGATGGAGACTGGGGTGGTGGGGGACCTTTTTTCTGCCGAGGACCACCTGGATATTTATAACACCATTTGTGGGCCACACAAAATTGTCAACTTAAAAATTAGCTATGAAAAAAGCTCCTAGATTTACTGAATTTCGAGTCCCGCCTGCGGTCCCTTGGCAGGGCCAGACCAGGTGATTTTGGGGGCCGTACACAGCTGGACCCTCCCCACTCCCGATGGAGATGACCAGGATGGGATAGGAAGTGCATCTGAGGCTCAACTCGGGCAAGCCTCCTCATGGTTTGGCTTCTGTTCCCCACATTCAGGCTTTCAGCGTGCAGCCTTCCAAAGCGCCCAGGCCCTCCTCAATTATCCACCCTCTGTTACCCCTGCATGTGCGGCCCCATCAGGGGGAGTAGGGTTCACTCCCCATTGGTGGGACACAAGCAAGACTTATTTCATCAACAGCAGTGAGTTTATCCTGTTTCCTCGCTTCTCCCTCACCACCCCCCAACTTCGGTGCATTTGTGGGCGCAGGACAGCCCCAGCCTGCGGTTATACCTGGCCTCCACCCTGGATGAGCCACTGGGCACGTGATTTCACCCTCCGCACCTGTTTCTCCACCTGCGCCTGACCCTGGGGGTTTCTGTGATGATGGCCTGGCCCCGGCTCACCAGTACTTAATGTGTCGGCATTACTGTCAGCAACCAGTGGGAGAAGACTCTTGGGCCGGTTTTTCCTGGCCTGTAGCTGGCTCAGGAGAGGGGAGCTGAACCCGGCCCTTGGCCTTCTGAGTGCCCACGCAGCCACACGAGTCCCCAGAGCCCCCAGAAGGAACTGGACCTCACACATCCTAATGCTTCCCAACCCGCCCGCACTCCCCAGGATCTTATCAACAGGAAACAAGAGCACTAGGCTACTATAATGAAGTGTCTGGCTTTTCTTTTCTAATTAGAAAAGCCCAAAGATTGTAGCCCAGGGAACAGCTAAATATTTAGAATGTTAAAGAAGTTACTAAGACCCGGCCCCCTCCCCCGTTACCCTGTTGTTTACCCCGCTCCCGACCATTGCAGACGAAAAAACTTTGGACGGCTGGATCTGCAGCAACGGGGACCGACGTGCCCCCACTAAAACCTTCCTTCCTTGAAATGCAGTCTGACCATTTCGGGGGGGAAAAACAGGAGCTGCTTGTGTTTACAGATAAACGTCGCCCTCAGCTCACAGCCCACAAGGGCCCCTAAGGACGGGGACCCATCCGATCCCCGGGCATCCAGATGGACGGCTCGAGTCAAGGGCTGGATGCCCTACCTTCTGCTCCAAGAACTTCCCTTTTTAAAGTCTAACTCTTTCCATTTGGCAGCAGCCACGTTCATTTCTCGCCGTACAACCTGCCCTGATGAAACGCATGCTCACAGCGAGAAAAAAGAAAGTGACTATTTTAGAGAGAGAGGGAGAGAAGTTCGCTTCTGCTTCCCCATCTTGGCAGGCGAAACCCACTGCATCCTTCAGAATTTAAGTCATCGGCTGGCTGCCGGGGGAGGCTGGGTTCTCAGGCCACCGGCGGGCACCCCTCCCGCTGCCCACTTCATGGCCTTGCCCTCTCCTCTCCTAAACCTTCAGTCGCTCCCACTCTGCGCGGGGCCCAAGGAGCTGGGCACACTTGCCCCTGGGTGTCACCGGCTCCCTAAGGCCCTCCCCGAGGCAGCGCCAGGTTCTGGGGCCCGGGCCTCGCAGTTTCCCTTCTCTCCCCTCCCCAGCTCCGTGGATGCGCGGGACACACGCTCCCAGGGCCGCAGCTTTCGCCACAGGCTCCCACTCACCTGACCCCGGGTCAGGCACCCTGTCGCCAAAGCGCGTCCGTCCAGCCAGGGGCGCGGATCCGGCTCCTCTGCGGTCAGTTCCTGAGGATTCAGAGAGAAGACGGCGCGTGAGACCAGGAGGCGGGTCCCCGAAAGAAACGCTGGGGATCCCCACCTCCCACCTACTTTCATCTCCGTCCTGGAGAGACCGCCCCCCCC